AGGGTTCGAATATGGCATTAAGTCACAACAGAAGAAGCCAATATGGGCCAGCTAGTAGTAAATTGATACCTACTTCATAATCTTTCAGATTTGTAGTGGCTTCCCCAAGATACTCATATAATTCAGCTAGTATCCATTCACTAAGGCATATTTGTCGTCCAGAGTGAAGTTGATTAGCAAGAGTTAAGAATCTCTTGGCTACTTGCAAAGATTTGTAGTAGAAAGTGCATCAAGATAGCCACAAATAAAGGAAATATATGTTCTGAATCCGATACTCCATCTCTTTCAGCATGGTAGTAATCAATATACTTGGTGAAACTAGCATGTTTGACTTTGAAACCAATAGTATTTTATGTTTGCTCATAGGGGTTGGAAGTTTCCACAGTGGGTCAAAGCTCAGTGATAGCAGCAATATCAAATAAGGTGGGGGTAACCATTATACGGGGAAGGTGAACGGTGTTATAAGTACCATCCTAGAAGTATAGAGATTCCGGTCAACATATGTTGGCAATAACTTGGCCCAACTTTCGATAGTTGAATCAAGTCAAAGATACCCATATCTTTCCAGACTTGGGATTTTTTCCTTTCGACTTTGGCTAGTCACTCAAGATATTGTTTACTATCTTTCGCTGGACATGACCTAAAGGGCCTAAAAAGCATCATTCATATAATCTAAATGGAAAGGTTTTTCTACATTTTCAAATTTTGAATGGGATTCTTCCTGAAGATTTTCTGCAGTTTACTACCTTAGGGTTTCTATCAGCATTTTCATCTACAGTTTTGGGAGAACTAATCTTGCTAGCTATGGATTTGGTCATGCGATATGTGGAAAAAAACTCTTTAAGTTTCTCCATATCACCAGCATTAACCATAGGGCCCATATATCCTAAAATATCCATCAGCAAGAGTGAAAGAAATGATTTACTTGGGTCATAGATGGCACGTTGTTCTGCATAAAGAGTAGGTGTTGGCATGAACTCTTGATTCCCAGACAAAATGGGTTTTGTTACATGAGCAAAATGAATGAAAGTAGCGTCCTTGGTGTTATTCATGTCCTTAACAAATTTGTTGCTTTTCTTAGAGGGCATCATTGATGAAGAAATTTTGGAAGGTGAATGATGTTTGAAGAAGAGAGTTTGAAGAGAAATCGCAAGTTTCTGAAAAATGAAAGCAGAAAAGTGTTTATTTGAAGAAGAAGAAGAAGAAGAAGAAGAGGGTATTTATAACTATAATGAAAAAGAATAAACAATTCACTTTCATTTTTTGTTAAATGAAAAAGATAGTGGGACACATGTTGTTGGTTCATAAGTTGACAATATGGTTGCTTTTTAGAAAAGACACAATTTAACCCTATTTAGTATAGCAATGATGGAAAAACTGAATTGCACTCGTTTCGATAAGAAGTTTGGAAAGATGGTCATCATGACCATGACGTCACAGCAGTAATGGTCATAATGAAGTAACTTTTGCGTCGATATTGAAGGTTCACAAAAAATGTCCATTTCTTCAAGTATTTCGAAATAAACATTTTTGAGGGGCAATTTGTTAGCTGAAATTTCGACAACCCAAAATATTGAGATAAATGAGAAATGTCGAAGGAAAATTAGCTCTAAAAGAAATATGAGAATATTTCATGAGGATTTTGACTAACAGGACTATGGATAATTTGATCTTGTTAAATATTGGTGAAATTCATATTTCGTGAGTTAGAGGGATTTAAGATTTTTTGAAGATTCGAAATTGAATATTCCGACAAAGTCAAGTTGTTGGTTTTGGCGCTTCAAAAGGAAGAGGAATTTGAATTCAAATGGGTTGTTCTTATCCAAAAGGACGCGAGGAAGTCTGAAGTTTTGAAGGGCATGCAAACATCAAACATGGCATTCTTTTAGAGAAATACCGTTATGGTTGAATTAGTATAAATTAGGACCTTTACGTTAGAATTTAGTGTGTTCACTTTTGTACAAATTACTCAAATAAACTCAAAGTACCCAGACAAACGAGTTGCTGAGAATATACATATGAAACACCAGTTTTTTCAGTTAATTTTATTCATTTTTGAACAAAGTCTTTTACATTTCATTAACGATTAAATCGAAGTTCATTTACATTCAAGTTCTTTATCTTAAAGCCCTTTTTATATTTATTTTAAAGCTTTTATCTTTACGCCCATTACAATCACTTCTTTCATAAAGATTGAATACCTAGAAACATTATACAACAATCAAAAACTAGACACATGTTCTAAGATCAATCTAGTCGATCTTGTAAGCAACCAAAATATCTTTGTTTTTGGAAGACTAGTGGTTGTTTACCAAATTTCACGGTAAACACTTTGTATGTGGTGTTCTTATACCCAAACTCTAGGAATTATCCTAGATGTATTAATGCATATGGCCTTCCTAGATTAACATCACAATTCCTCGCTTCAGGTGGTGACAATGGTTTGTGCCTAACCATATATCATGTGATAACTGCATCATCTCTCCAACTCGTTCCCCATGATATCTCCCTTGAGGAAATGGGTTCGGAATGACCTTGGTATGGTAGACGTCTTGCGGGATCTTCTCCTTGCTCGTGTTCAGTGGGGTGAACTTCTATAATGGCCTTCTAGTGGACTTGAATCTAACCTTTTTCTTGAATTTATATTGAGTTATGATTCCTTCGTTAGTTTGATACTTTAGAATTTTTTCCACCTCGCTCTCTTGTGACTCAAGTTCTTTTTTTAGCATTTTTTCTTCCATCTTGATCTAACATTCCAATAGTACCATTATTTCTTCCATCAAAGCTGCTAACTTTTGGACTAAGGACTCGTTGAAATACTTGGCCTTAAGATCGTTCTATAAGGCTCTGACGAACATTCCTTAGTTGGGGTTGGAGACAATGATGGTCTCTTCATTAAATCTGGACAAATACTCAAGCAATAATTCATAATAGCCTTGCTGAATATTAAATAAGCGAGTGATGAAAACTTTTTTGTGTTTGTTAGCTAAAAAATGATGAACCACATTTCTCACCAGATCTTGGTAGCTTGACACTGAAAAACTTTGTAAGGATCGTGCACCACTTAAGGGAAGCCTCCTTGAACTTTTTAGCCATTAGTTTGCACATCAATGAGTCATTTACCTCCGACGTTAGCCATATAGGTGTTGATGGCGATAATATACCTCATAACATCGATTTTTTGTCAAATAATACAAGGGTGGTGGATTGAAGTTTCTTGGGACCCCGAGCATCCAAATCTCCCCCTACGAGTGGTTAGGGTCGGTGGACTCCTCTTCCTCATCCTTATCTGACTCTTTGTGTTGTTGTTGTTATAAGTCATGGACGCTTTCCTGTAATGCTTAATTTTGCTGACATAGTTCATCCATAAAGGCTAGCATCTCTGGCATGGCAACACAATCATTATTGTGGGTGTTGGTTCTACTAGCTGACTCCCTTATCATCATGATATGAGGTCGGACCGATGCTGGAGTAAGTGTATGAGATGACGTTGGACTGATGTTGGAATAAGTGTATGAGATGAGGTCAGATCGATGTTGGAGTAAGTGTGTGTGGTCTAGTCAATTTTGTCAGACCCGCGGTGGACACCAATTATACTTGTAAAAGTACACCAATGATAATTCTACTAGTGAAGACTAATAAAGTTACACTTGAATTCTCTTATCAATTGTGTAGATTTGTTCTTCTTGTGCCATTTTCCTTATATAGTAGTTATAACCGATCTTACACTAAATCTCATCAAAGTCAATTTAATGTGATTGCTCATGATTTATACGACCTCTCAATGGTAATTGGAAATCATATTTGATTGTTCCAAATCCTAGATTATAATATCTCTTATCAACCAAAAATACATTCTCAATCAAATATTAACATGTGTTAGACTTGGGCCGACATGATCAATTTACCCTTATAGCTATTTCAACACAAACTTGTTCTTCTAGGCAGAATATTAATAAGGACCAACTCAAATGGGTCTAAGTTGACTCGGTCCACTTTAAAATTCGGCCCAAGAGACCGGTCATGGACAAATTTATATGAAAAAGTTTTTTTTTATCAATACACCACCTCATTGCATACTATTTCCATAAGATTTGGTGCCTGTCCCGATTGATAACTTGTTTTTGTAAGGAGCATAGCCATGAAGTAGGGATTAAGATGCTTTCAATTGTTTCCTCTCCATTTCTTATCCTATGAAATAGACCTCACGTGGAGCTTCAATCAATTAACAAGAAGATGTCCAATTAATCAACAAATGTAAGCTATGTATGTTCAATTTGAAGTTCAAAAGTTTATGGGACAACATGTGAGAATGTGGCAATAGTCACAACTACAACATTACTACTCATTAGAAAGGACTATACATTAAAATGAAGAAGAAAAAAAAAAGAAATTCTTTGTCAAGAAACGATTGGAGATTGTGACACTTTAAAATGAGAAGCAAGCAAGTTGTGAATTTATAAGTCATAGTTTTAGTTTTGGATGCTTCATTTTTGGTATACCATATATAGTACATCTATAGATCTACTCTCGAAAAAACCTACTAAAATCTTGGCCGTTGAAATAATCTCCCAATGATTCTCACACAAGTACACGTGCACCTATCATACATATTTTTCCTAACTAATCTATTATTACATGTTGCTTTCATGCATGGAATTCTCCTCCAACAGAAACAAATGCAAGAAAGAGTCATTATTCTTAATGTTATGCTTTTATTACCTCTCTTAATATTACTTAAACTCTTGAACCCACCTCATTAATATTCTTACAACCCCATTAATTTAATTTAATTTTTGTTCATTCTATTGTGAAACGGAAATGAAGGGGTCTCTCCCCTTTTTGTGGGTCGGATCTTGTACTTATACAACTGTCACATCTTCACCATCATCATGATCATGATCATGATCATGAAATAATGCACATTTCATGTTTGTGATATTGTTTCTTATATATATTGAGATCAGATTCATATAATTCTTGAGTGCTGTTGTGGATCAATGGAGGAGAAGCAGAAGAAGTTTGTTTGTAAGTATTGTTCCAAGAGATATCCTTGTGGGAAGTCTCTTGGTGGTCATATAAGAACACATATGAGTGAACAAAGAACTCATAATGCTGCTGCTGTGCTGTTGCTGATACGCGTGTTTTCAAGCAAGATGCTGTTAGAAACAAGAGAGATTTGTCGTGTTCCGAAACTGGTGCCGATGGAAATACCAGTTATGGTCTTAGAGAGAATCCTAGGAAAACAATGAGGTTTGTGCATTCGAATCAGCATCAGCATCGTGAACGTCGTCATGATGATGCTGCTGCAAATGCGGATATGGAGCATGAAATGATCAGGTTCTGTAAAGAATGTGGGAAGGGCTTTCCTTCACTGAAAGCTCTTTGTGGTCACATGGCTTCTCATTCTGAGAAAGAGAAAAAGATCAATAGATTTGATCAAGTCATGGAAGATAGTCAATCTGATGATGATACTGATGATGATGCTGCAACAACAATGAATCTGAGGAAATCGAAGAGAAGAATTAGGTTCAAGTCTCTTACTCTTTCGAATCAAATCAACCTTCTTCTTGTTCTGTTGATGGTTCTTCATCTATGTCAGAGATGGAACAAGAACAACAACAAGAGGTTGCTATGTGTTTGATGCTTTTGTCTAGAGATTTTTTTAGTCATAAGGCTCGTTTTGTTTCTGAATCTTGTGATAATAATAATAATAATAACAACTCGGTTGTTTTAGAGACGAAATCCTACATTTCTGATAAAAAGATTGTTATTAGAAATTGTAACAAATTTGTCTCTAATAATGATCATCATGAATCTGCGGAGAAGAAGCTGAAGCTGCTGAAGTCTGTTGGGATTGGTGTTTCGAATAAATCTGATTCCAGGGATTTCAGATATGTTTCCAAGATCAAAACTGTAGATTCAAAACTTTCAAACTGCGAATTCAAGAGGCCGGAAATGGAAGAAGATAAATCTGGATTTGTGGATTGCAAAAGCAAATACAATGTGACATCAACTGTGGTTAAGAAATCAGGGATGAATAAGGATTTGGATCATGATTCGAGAATGAAATCGAGCTATGGAAGGATTTGGTTTTAACAACAACAATACCAAGAATGAAGAAATCAATGATGTTAGAAACGGTTTGAAATACGAGTTTTATGGTAGTGAAAAGGACGATGATTCTTCTTATGTTTCAACAACAGATGAAGAGAGTGATGAAGAAAACAGTTCAGAAAGTGATTCTTTCCCTGCTGCCAAGTCTCATAACAGTAAAAAGAAATCAAGTAACAAAGCTAAGAAGAAGTTGAAGTCAAAGAAAAGCAAGGAATATGAGTGTCCAATTTGCTACAAAACTTTCAGGTCAGGACAAGCATTAGGAGGACATAAAAGATCACATTTTGTTGGAGGATCTGAAGAGAACACTACTTTTGTCATCAAACAAAATGCTGCTGCTCCTTGTTTGATTGATCTCAATCTTCCTGCTCCTGTTGATGAATAAACAAAAATTACCAAATGGGTTATCTTTCATTTTACTTTTACATCATTTTTTTAAGCTTCTTCTTTATTAGGTACCTTAATGAATATCTTCAATTTTAAGATGTTTTTTTATGTCATTATCCTATACGATGATAGAAAATTGAAATATAGACGAAATAGTATTAAGTATTAACCACTGGAAACTCATTCTCACAATATGATATTTAGGATTTGAAGTCTGAATATCACAGTATTGACGTCCAACCTAACAATATCAGTTTTTTTGTCAGTAAAGTTAGGATTTACGACTTGTTCTTTCGTGTTAATAATGGGACATAACAATTTCATAGTCTTAAAAATTTGGTTTCACCCTTGATTGATTGAATCAATATTCTAAATAATTATGAGTTGAGGTAGTTGTAAGGTTACCTAGATTAAGGTAGGAAAAGAAAAGCATATAATTGAAAGATGTGTACGTGTATAACACGTAGTTCTAATAGTAGAAGAATTTGTATACTTTTTCTCTTCATGCCAATTACTATATATGTGGTGTTGCTTATTCAATTCATTTAAGTTGGAGTGTATGAGAGGACCACAAATGTATATCATACTATTACTACCTTCTGATCTATCATGTGGGCTCAAAAAACAAATTTGGGGCACTCGAGAATCAAATTAACTCGCATATGAACAAAATTGTAAGGTATGTGTGGAATTATGACAATGAGATAATGGCATTATTTGAGGATTGTGAAAAGATTTTCATTAGTAATTAAATCATGAGACCAGTGTAATTAAAATGTAAGTGTGGTTTGATTGTGTGCAATTTGTCTGGTTATATAAATCTGAATTTGTTGGTGAATTGAAACGCAAGAGTCAATGGTAATTAAGTGCAATAAGTTGGTGAAGAATTAAGTGGTTTAGTGTGATCATGCTTAGTGATGAGGGAACAATTGTTGTCTCTATTACACATAAAGTAAATTGCTAAGCATCAACTTTTATGGTTAGTGTGACAAAAATATGAACAGTGTTTATCTAGATTGCTCTGGCCGGCAGAATCACAAATTGTTTTGATCAACTGGTAGGAAAAAATATAAAATGCTTGGAACTGTAGTTTGTTTGGGATGAAAGCGTTTATTTTAGTTGTTCATCGAAGCTAAAATTTAAGGTGAATAATATGATGTCACATATCCGAACTAGCAATTAGATAAATATGTATAATTAGCAATTGAGTTGAGTGTTTACTTAATTTTATGTCTCTGCACAACTATTAATAGAGGTGGTTTAACGGAACAATTTATTTCCTTTCTTAAAATATACTATATATCATGTTATTTTTTCTTGTTAGACCAAGCAAAAGTGAATAGGAAAATAAAGTCATTTAGATCAGGATTGTCACTACAAGAAAAACTGTGTATAGCAGGAGAATTTGCCAGTGATAAAACCCCTCATTAAATCAACAATTTAGTTTGGGGTTAAATCAATCGCAACGCACGAAACAAAAGAAAATATTATACAATTAACTGATGTGGGGTAACTCTTCACAGATATGACATAGAGAACTTTTGAATTTGAATATTGCGAGGGATCATCCATAGTAGAATTAATGGCCCAAAATCTTATTTTCTTAAACAAACAAAAGTCACATTTGCGAGTGGTAGTCTCTAGCAAAATTTGAATATTTAGATTGCGAGGGTAGCCTCTAACAAAATTTGACTGTTAGGTCAAATCACCGTCAGCATGTCAGGATGATTAATGAAGTTTGTTGTTGTCAAAAATCTGCTAAGAGTTATCCGTGAATGGTCAGTTATTGTCAGAAATCTACTAGAGACTACTCCTAACAAATGTTGCTATTAATTAAACATGTCTCACTTCTTCTTCTCCACTTATTAGTAACCCTTCTATCTCCCACTCATTTTCTCTCTTTTCTTTAACCCATTTAAATCATACTTTCAAACCTTCCTCAATATTTTGGATTTTGCTTCAAAATCTTCAAAATTTTAATCATTGTAAGCTAAATGTTTATGTTTAACTTTAATTTTGATTTTTTTTTTATATTTTTACAGTAACTTAATATTGTTTCTTTTACAAACTTAAAGTTTGTATCTGATTCTGATTTTTCCCCATTAAGATAACATTTTTTTATTTTTTTAAAAATAAAATATATTTAGTGTTGTTGTTGGTTGATATTATATATATATATATATATATATATATATATATATATATATATTATATATATATATATATATATACTATATATATATATATTATATATATATATATATATATATATAATATATATATAGTATATATATATATATATATATATATATATATATATATATATATATATATATATATATATATATATATATATATATATATATATATATATATATATATATATATATATATATATATATATATATATATATATATATATATATATATATATATAGTTAATATGATTAAAATGTAAATTCTTTATAAAAAAGTATATATAAATTATTAAAAATATGATTTTTAAAACTTAAAATAGAAGTTTAAGTTAGTAAGTTTAAGGTATTTTTGTTTTTTATTTTAATTATGAATTCTTGAACTTTATAAAATTTTAAAATATTTATTTATTTATTATATTAATGTTATTTTATTATAATTATATTATTATATTTATAATAATAACATAATTATAATATTTTTTATACATTATTATAAATATTAACTAGAGGTAATCTATAAATAAAAAATAATTAATCATTTGCGAGAGATTAAACTTCACACAAAAGCTAAAACGTGGATTATTTGTCAAGGATTTAGTCCCTTACAAAATAGTGACACACATTGTGTCATTTATGTCTGCTTGTTTGAAAGAGGATATAAGATTTGCAAGGGGTTTACCTCTAAACTAACTAGTGAGGTGGTTAGCCCTCATTAAAAATTTGCAATCCTCATATTAGTTAAGAGAATTGTCCCCTCACAAATTTTTGTTTTGTGAATTTTTTTAATTTATTTGTGAGGAGTTTAACGACAAGCTAAACAACAGTTTTCTTGTAGTACATCTCTTAGATTGTGGAAGACAGATTATTACATATAGTCTAAAATTTGTTATAGTTAAACTGCAACTAAATAGTATTTTATAAAATATTTGTCACTAATAAATCTCAGTTAAATAAAATTTTTATTTATTTTATTATGATTAAATCACATAATCTTCAAATACT